ATATAAAAAAAATTAAAATTTACAATTGACACCACTGAAAAATAAAAATTCTCTATATAGGTATAGATAATCTTTCATAAATTATAAATTGACACCATCCAACATTTAAAAAAATGGGGGTCAATTTAAAAATTTTAAAAATTGGAACACCAAATTGAAAAGTCATCAAAGGAGTCAAGGAGAATTGAAAAGTCTATGCCCAAATGGCTGATCGAACGCCAACTCCCGCTGCAAAAAGAAAAAAATGATGGAACGCCGTAAGTCGTAGTCTCAATTCCCAAATCACTGAAATCGGAAACCCTCGGTCGGCGTTCGCAGGTCGCTCCACCTGTCCTCTTGCTCAAAAATTGGTGGAGACAAAGAAACATATTGTGTATCCATTAGTTTTTTTACTTGTGAAATTAGCTTTGCTTTTACCGGTGGCCACCGCAACTGTGGAAAGAGCCTTCTCAGCCATGAAGTTCGTGAAGAACAGGTTGCGCGATCGAATGGGGGATGCTATGATGAATGTCGTCTTAGTTACTTTTATTGAAAAAGATATATTCAAAAGTGTTGACAAAGAAAAAATTGTACAACATTTTCAAAATATGAAAACGCGTCGGGGACAGTTATGCTAAATTGACACCACTGACATGAACTCCTGGCTCCGCCACTGTTTATTAGGAAATGTGTAAAGTGTGTTATTGGGCTCAATCAATGAAGGAGTCCAATTCATGCTTAGGTCACATCACCACATTCCCTAGGCATATAAATAGTGTCTTTTAGGGAATGTGTAAATAGACTTTTACAGATTATTCACGCATACATCATTCTAGTGAGAGAGAGAGCCGATAATTTGTATTCTCGATACCTTGTTCTGTATTTCCAAACCATTCTCGGTATTGAATCAAAGTTGATCTTCTCCACTCTATTCTATATTTCATATGATTGTTGGATGAAATAGGGACAAAAATTATATGTATATAATTTTTTATTTTTATTTTTAAATTGACACCACTGAAAAATAAAAATTCTATGTATATGCATAATCTGTCATAAATTGACACCACTGACACTAGATCCTGGCTCCGCCCCTGGATAAACATATAACATATGCATCCCGTGCAACGCACGGGTAAAGAATCTAGTGTATGAAAAAGTAACTAAATGAATGGTGGAAGAAATTAATGAAAAAGTATGAATACTCTTGTAACAAGTCAAAAAAGGCTATAGTAATATAAGTGAAGTTACGTTATGAGTGTATTTTTATAAGAAAATTCACTAAAAGTAGAAAAATGAACAAATAACAAAAAACTTTTCAAAGAAATTAAATATGACCAGTAATAACATAATGGATAGAATATTTTAATGATATCCAGGGCCGGCCCTGGACAAGGGCAGGCCGGGCTTGTGCCACGGGCCCAACATTTACAGGGCCCATAATTATATATAAATGGATAAATATAGAGAGGACAATTCATATCAGACCGAGGTCATTTGGGGCCCTTTATGGAGGATTTTTTTTTGAAACTTTTTTAGAGTAAATTACATTCACAAAATTTTAGTTTAAAAATCAACCGGGAAGTCAGTTAAATAAAATATTGAAACACACTGCGCTTTGTGTATATAAATAATGCGCACTATCTTTCAATAATTTATTTAACTGACTTTCAGGTTTAGTTTTAATCTGAAACTTTGTGGAGATATTAAAGATTTCATGAAGAATATATTTTAAAATTTTCATGAAAAAATTCTATCGAGAAGGGCCTCAAATGGCCCCGGTCTGACATCATTTCCCGTTAGGCAGGCCTAATTTCAAGGTTTCATCTTTGGTCTTTAATTCGTTTTGCTCAGCAATCAACACTCTCCTAATTTTCTCAAAAATATCTTCCAAATTTGAAATTTCAATTTCACAAGTAATTCTCTGGTTTTAGTTTTTATTTTTTAATATAATTTTTATTCGTTTAGTTTATACTACCTCCGTCCCGTTGGAATGTTCCCGTTCGGTTTACGATGCTTGACTGACAATAAAGCAACTCGATCCCTGTTCACACTCTGCTTATTTTTAGTAAATAAAATTTACATATTCAGAAACCACATTAAAACCGCTACAAAGCCTGATCAAGAAAAGTTCAATTTGATAAAAATTTGATATATAAAGTAAAAGATTAGGAGTGAACTAAGTTGACCAATGAATAGTAACCAGGAACATTCCAACGGGACGGAGGGAGTATATTAAGACTTTGATGAAATTACATTACTTTGTATGTTGAAATTTGCGTATATAAAGTTAAGCTTTTGCAATATATTTATATAACCTTTTAAGGGCCTTCTTCTTTCAATCGCCCCGGGCCCATAAAATATCAGGACCGGCCCTGATGATATCTACAAAAGTTTTAGAATTACAATAAAAACAAATAAAATTATTGTTTCATGTTTGATTACACTTTTTCATGAATAATCATTTAAGGCTATCCATAGTATAGGCGGAAAACAAAAAAGTAATTTATTGTAAATGTAATCCATATGATCGATGCTACACAATTAGTTTACTCAAATAGAATTACACAAATGGTGCTCCCTCTACACTGTAGTTGTCAAGTTTTCCTTTATACTCCCTCCGTCCCAACATAAAAGGCGGATTTGTCTTTTCAAACATTTAGAAGAGGAACATTGTTTGACACTGTTTGGACATTGTTTGGTATTACTTGACACTGTTTTACACTGTTTTGTTTGTCAAAAAGGGAAATGTGTCTTTTATATTGGGGCGACCCAAAAAGGAAAATAGGCCTTTTATATTGGGATGGAGGGAGTATTTGTCTAAAAGTAATCATCAATTTTCTAATTTCACGTTTCAACCAGGGACGGATCCAGGATTTCAAGTCAAGGGCGACGAATTTTTTTTCATTAATGTAGCGGGGAGAATTTTTTCGCTAATGTTGCAGAATTTTTTTTTCGCTAGTGTAGCAGAAAGAAAATTTTTCACTATTGAAGGGTTCTGCGGCTAATTTTTATTAAAAAAAATCATTAGTATATTCACGATAACATTTAAATATATTACATTCTAAGTTTAGACAATGGAAAAATAACATTAATTTTGTAACGTAAATGCTCTAGAAAAAAGTATTGATACATTAAAGCATAAGACATTGCAAATCAAAGGAAATTTATTTGAAAATAAAAAAGGATATATATCATTTTGTCAAATTATTTGAAGGTAAAAAATTTAAGAGGTACACATCACTCAATGTTTTTTAAATAACTTATTTCTTGTTTAACCACATGAATCTTACCAGAATAAAGAATTTGTTTTTGAATTGTAGTTTTTGTCTACCAAGTAGGGTGTTCATGGGTTACGAGGAGTTTTTTTTAACATTACAATAATATGCATGAGATTATTATTTTTAGAATAATATTATACTTAGTATTGTTAATTCATATATATATGATGCGTATTATACTTGTATTAACGCTAAAATACGTTAAAGTTCATTATTTATGCAATGAATTGCTCTTAGAAAGTAAGAAGTAAATGAGTTGTATAATTTATTGTCAACAAACATTTATATTTTGGACTCACTTCACGAGATTTAAAATTGTTTAACCAGTGTGTCTGGTATTTATTATCATATGACCTTTTACAAAATGTAGTACTAATTATCTAATAAAGATAATTAAATATTACAAAGCTATGAATTTTTATATAATAGGTATCCTAAGTCTTAAACTATCTAACTATTTTAGATTTTACTTCTTTTAAATCTCCCAATTAAGTATTACATAATGTAACACTATATATTAACTTTAAAAACATAAAAGTTAAGGGGGGCGAAAACATATATATCTAATTAAAGTATGAAAATTTTATGAAAATACTCCCTCCGTCCCAATTTGTAAGATACATTACGGTTTACGATGTTTGACTGACGATAAAGCAAATTGATCCCTGTCAACACTCAAATTATTTTTAGAAAATAAAATTTACATATTCAGAAACTACATTAAAACCGCTACAAAACCTGCAAAAAATAATTCAAATTTCATAAACTTTTGATATATAAAATAAAAGATTAAAAGTGATTTGTGTTGACCAAGTGAATAGTAAATGTATCATACAATTTGGGACTGAGGGAGTACTACATATATAATAAAAAAATTTGAAAGTCGAAGGGGGCGGTCGCCCCCGCGCCCCCCTTAAATCCGTCCCTGGTTTCAACCGATCAATCGTACTAAAATACTAAAGTACTAATGATATCCATAAGTAAGTACTAAAATAATTTGGAAATATTGGGCGCACTTTAATTTGTAGTCAAACTCGGAAAGTAAACGGCGTTTCTAAAATTGATCAGCTCACTTTCGATAAGAGTACGGTTATGTTTGGCTGACATAAGTCTATAGCTTTTGGCTTTTGTACTATTTAAAAAGTCTCTAAAAGTTGTTAGTTGTTTGTTTGGCACGCCAATTTTTAAGAGCTTTTCAAAAAATAAAAACTCTTTTTTGAGATGCTACAGGTAGTAGCATTTGAGAAAAGTCTGTGACTTTTAGCTTTAATAATTCCTAACAACTTGTATGCCAAACAGAACTAAATCAAACAGTCAGCTTTTTACCAAACAGCTACCACCTTTTACTTTTAAGATCTTTTCAGTCATTAAAAGTTAACAATTAGGAGTACTAAAAAGCTCACAAAAAGATCTTTTCAGCTAATTGTACCAAACATAGCCTACGTGTTGGTCTTGTTTAATCTGATTATTTTATGTTTAGTTTATTCTGTTTAAGTCTGGTTTAGTTGGTACAAGACATAATTAATTCACATAAAAGAATATAAGTACTTCAATTCGTACGGAAGAAAAATATGGATCATATAATATTGGTATCCCAGTTCAATTCGACCTATCCGATTAGAACAAGTATGTACATATACTCCTAGTTGGATTAGAATCCCGGAGAATGTAATACGATTGAAAACCTCTATAAATATTTAGTTAACTGGCCATTACTGACTAATAACACGATTAAATTATTTTACATGTCCGCATCTAACTGATTATTTAAGGAAAGCCGCCTTCTCTTCTGTGTTTCAAAGGGAGCTAGGTTATATGTGGCTCCGTCAACGACGTGGCTTGTGTCGACTGCTATTTTGGACAATATTATTAGTAGAAATAATAAATCATTTAGTATATAGTAGTAACGGTGTATATGTACACAATAATACTCAGAAACACGACGACCACCTCCGGGGGACGAGAGTCGACGCCGTCGTGGCAAAAGACGGGTCCGGCGAGTTTAGGACCATCAACGGTGCTGTTAATGCGGCGCCGGATTACAGCAATACCCGGTTTGTGATTTATGTCAAAGCCGGGGTTTATCATGAGAATGTTGTGGTTGGTGAGAGGAAGAGCAATCTTACGATTATCGGGGATGGAATGGATGCCACCATTGTTGCCGGGAATTTGAGTTATGTGGAAGGATATTCGTTAACAAGTACCGCCACCTTTGGTTAGTTTTCTCTTTTACTACCTCTGTCCCAAATTGATTTGTAAAGTTGACTTTTCTTGGTCAAACAGTTACGTTTTGTTCACTTAATTAGGATGTCAATTTTTAATTATATTCTAATTTGGAGTTTACAACTTTAAAGAGATTTTAATGTAGTTTATGAATATGTAAATTTTAATTATTAAAAATTGAATTAAATAGACATACGGAGCATTGACTTTTATTATTAGTTGACCAAAAAATGTTTATTTTGCAAAACAAATTGGGACGGGAGTACTATTTTTTATATATACGGAGTACCTGTGAATCTTATTAAGCAAGGAGAAAAAGACAAATAAGCCCGTATCATGAGTCTCATTGCAAAATCGTTGAGACTTAGTTGTTCTTTTCTCTTAAACAAATAGTGTACTTATACTACTTAAGAATGAAGTACTATAGTCTATAAATGGTGCATGTATAAGCGAGTTTTGCATTTGATAAATCAAATATTTGACTTTTTAATTGACTCGATAGACTCGCTTCGAAAGTCGAAACTTAGGTTGATACATTAAGGTTACGTTATTCATATATATATACTCCGTAATTTTCATGAAAGTGTTTTTAATATACATCAATTCATTAGTTACAATACATAATCGGTGAGTGATTGAATCTAAATAACTATAGATGTTATTATTTTGGATAAATTTTAGACTCGAGCCTATTTGATAATATTAAAATTGGTGTAATATATTAAAATTGATGAAATTTTGATTGAACCAGCAGAATTGGTTGAACCAACCTCATTTAGAGCAATGAGGTGGATGACATGCATTTGCCAATGCATTTAGAGCAATGGGTGCATTGGGGATGATGTGACAATTAAATGGAAAGAGTCCAGTTAAAATGAGAGGGTCCATTCAAAGAAGTCTCCAATGCTAAACAAATTGCAAGTGCAAACACATGGGAAGCAACTTGTAGGAGAGAGAGGCCGGGGGTGAGACCCAAGGTCCCAATGTAGACCTCTTCTTGGACCTTGGTCATTGCCACCTAGGATAGACCTCATTTTTTTGGTTTTGCATTGAAGAGCACATTGGGTCCATTGGATGAGGTGGATGACATGCATTTTTTTGGTAATCCACCTCCAATTGATCCCATTGGAGATACTCATCTTAGGATATGGTTGATCAGCCATTTTTTTGCCTTTTTATATATTTAATCAATTTGACAATCTAAGTAACTAAATTTAGGGTTAAATGGATTTTAAAAAAAATTAGGGTTAAATGGTTATATATCTTAAAGAAATACTCTCTACGAGTATGATAGGACAAATTAATAACCTATATTATATTTTTTTAAGCGCATAACACTTTGTATTTAATGTGAGGCAGCATAATTATAGTTCACTTATGCAATAGTCTGTTTTTATTCATTTAAACAAGTTAGTTAGGCTATTTGATTAATTTATACAGATACATGACATAAACTTAACTGCATGCACATATTTAAAGTTTATAGGTACAGTTATAACCCAAATATTCTCTAAATTATTGTTTGTTCAATGGTTGAAAGATTAGCTTATTTTATTTGTGGCAGCTGTGTTTGGCAAAGACTTCATAGCACAGGACATGGGATTCCACAACACGGCCGGAGCAGCCAGATACCAAGCCGTGGCCCTTGTGGCGGCCGGCGACCGGGGAGCCTTTTATCGCTGCAAAATGGTGGGGTACCAAGATACGCTCTACGCCCGATCCAACCGTCAATTCTTTCGGGATTGCGCCATCTACGGCACAGTGGACTTCATCTTCGGCGACTCCGCCGCCGTCTTCCAAAACTGCACTATCCGTCCCCGGAAACCGCTGCCCGGCCAGTTTAACGCCATCACCGCCCAAGGCCGCGTTGACCCGAGTAGTAAAACCGGGTTTTCATTTCAAAACTGCGTCGTTTCGCCGGCAGAGAATCTCGCCGGCGTCAAAACATTCTTGGGCCGGCCGTGGAGGAATCATTCTAGAGTGGTTTTCACAAACACTTATATGCACAGTTTCATTGATCCGAATGGTTGGGTGCCGTGGTCGCCGAGAGATAGGGCGTCGCCGGACACAGTTTACTACGCCGAGTTTGGCAACTACGGCGGAGGGGCCGCGACGGCGGGCCGAGTGCGGTGGAAGGGATTGCATTTGGGGATGAGTAGTGAAGAAGTCAGCATGTTCAGTGCTGAGTCTTTTATTGATGGAAGCTCTTGGATTATTCCTAGGACCACTAATGTCACTTTCAACTCTTCTTCTCCTAATTCATAATTCATGCAAATAAAGTATGGCATCCTTGTATTCAAATTCATAATTCATGTAAATCAACTAATCAAGTATGATTTGGGTAGTATATTCTTTAATTTTTTATTTAAAAGGGAAAATAAATTTAATAATAACTAACAGTTTTTTTAAATAAAACTAAAAGCATAGGTTTAATACACCACATTCTCTCATGATATATAAATTTGGCACACTAACCGACTAATTAACCTATTTATCTTGTTTGGTAATAGCACAAGAATCAGTAAAAGTCTCGATTAAAATGTTGAATTGGCGAAAACTAGTGAAATGAAAAAATAACAGTTAAAATACATTTTAGTCCATATAAATTAAGTAAAGAACAAATTGTATATACGAAAAAAAATTAAAATAGTGTTCGTATCAAAATTCGTGACCTGAAAGATAAAATGTATCATTATAGGCATTATATGATTGAAAACTGTTAATCTAGGACCTAAAGTTGCATAGGTTTTGATTTGTTTAATTTTTTATTTCTTCCATTATATTGCTGATATTTGATTATTTTTTCCCCACAAAAGTTCATTAATTTAATAAAATTAAATAATATTTGAAACTTTTAAATAAAATAATAGTAAAACTTATGACCATTATGTCCTAGATTGATAATTTTCAACCATTTGATCCTTATACCGACACATTTCATATTTCGGATAATGGATTGATAATTAATCTATTTTTCAGGTCTCAATTGAATTGATAATACTCAATATTAATTTACATTTATTTCATTTTAATTGATACGAGCAACTTTTTTCTCTTGTCTACTGGAGAAGACGTATTTGGAAAGTTGATGAAAGTCATGAAACTGTGCGGTGACTCAAATATATGTGCTTATGAAAATGTTTTCCTGTAGTGATTAATGTCATTAGAGATTCAGAGACGCTGATACAAATATTGTATTCTTCTGTTTATGATAAAAATATTATATGCTCCATAGATGTTTTATGGTAGTGTAGAAAAAGAGAGTAAGAAAGTGAAAAAGTATAAAAGAAAATATGAAAAATTCTATAAATTAAACCACTTCTGTAATTGTCAAAAAAATACATATAATTACATATTTATGACTAAAATAAATAATGTTTACAAAAATATGATTAGTAACTAAAGTAGTAATGTTTGCCAAAAAAACTAAAGTAGTAATGAAATCATAGTAACTTGTATTCAATTATTAAATTTAATTTATTATGTACTATATTGTAGTAACTATTAATCACATTTGTGTAAATACATTTTATTTTGATAATATTTTTGAAAAAACTTATAAAACGTAACCAGAGATACTATTAATTAGCATTTTAATTATCATAATGGTAAAATGATTCAATAAATACATAGGGGTGTTTGGATCTGATGCAGAAAACTGCTTCTGCTTCTTCAGGGAGCAGAAGAAGTTGAAGTGTTTGGATAATAGTGAAGAAGTGATTTTGGTGCTCTAATTTACTCCTAGAATCAGTTTTTTGGGAACCTGAGGGAGACCATCTTCTGAAAACTGATTATAATTCTGTTTCTGTTTTAAAAAAGAAGCAGAAGAGTTCATAGTATTTAACTACGGGAGAAAGACCTAAATAGGATTAAAACATATTAGGGGAATGTAAATAGGACTTGAACTTTAAAAACTCCCGTATAGGACTAATTTTCAAGTTAAGGACAAGTATACCCCTGGGTTATAAACCGGCACGCGTGGCGCTCCTCTTTGTCGATAGAATGGAAGATCCCTGAAAACAGGTTGCGACGAACACTCGATACCTCCGGCACTGCACCCACCGTTATTAATCTTCTAGCGGCGACCTCTACTACAATAGGGTATGAACTTCTCGCTCACGGAAAAGTCTTCTGAAGCAATATGAGGGGCTTTCCCGCCTGGGGGGGGGGGGGCTTTGTTGTCCACAGTGAATTGATTTTGTTGACCCATCTAATGATTTCTCTAGTGCTCCTTTCGATTCATCCTCTTCGGCTCGCCAGTTTCGTTTCAACTCGTCCATATACGAGCCCGTTTGGTAGCACCAAAATCGGCTGTTTTGGCTGATTCTGCTGAAATTTATGATATTCTGGCTGGAGTGGCTGTTTTGGCTGATTCTGCTGATTTAAGAAAAAAATATTTTAAAAATATATTTTATTAATAAATTAAAGAAAAAATTATATGTAAAAATAGCTAAAATGGTCCTCTACAGTAACTTCAGCCAATACAGCCAGAAAAGTAACTCCAACCTTACTTTTTCGGCTTATTACACAATTCAGCGCGCGAAAGTAAAAGTTACGTGTTTGGTGAAAAAACTGGCTGATAAGCCTGATAAGCCGAAAATAGAGTTCTCCAAACGGGCTCTACATATCTCTTTGGCTGAATTTGAGTTTCAAGGTTTTTGCTTTTTTGTTAAGCTTGCTCTGTTTTAATTTTGTGAATTCATCATCACCGAACACCTTCTGACAAGAGTCATGATGCCAAATCATGTGAATGAGGAATGATTATTTTTTACCACATACGTAGTATATGGAGTATTTTCCTTATCACTTTTCAATCCTCAATTAATTTAGTTGGAAATCTTATTTAGTTGTTTTTCATATGCGTGTGTAACAGGTTTGTAAAGTAATATTACGTCTAATTCAAATAAAAACAATGTAGATTAGATTAATGTTTCTTGTTGTTCAGATTTAATGTCACATTTTAATCATTTGTGATTACAATTTTCACTAGGGATGATAAATCTTTCAACCATAAAATATTTCACTAACAATGTCACGACTTCATAAGAATGTCAATGTCAGATTCACAATTCATAATACTGTCAATGTCACTAAAAGTGTGGCAATGTCAAAATAATCATGATGTTAATATTATTAAAAACTGAACTTTTCTAAACCGTTATAAAATAACACTATTAAAAATACATTGCTTTTGTAGAAAAATATGTTGTGAACAATGTATTACTACTTACAATATTAGGATAAATGTACAAGTAGTGACAATGACAATGTCAATACGAACACTTTTAAAAATGTCATTATAAAAATTGATATTATAAAAATAACAATGTTAAGGATAAAAAATGACATTGTAAAAATGACATTATAAAAATGACATTGTCAATGATAAAAAATGACATTGTTTTCAATAATGACATTGAGATATGTGACAATGTTATATCATTGTTCAAAGTCATGACATTGTCAAGAAATGACATTGTTTTCAATAATGACACTGAGATATGTGACAATGTTATATCCAGGGGCGGAACCAGGGGTGGGCGAGCCGGTGCCGGCGCCACCCCTTCGCCGGAATTTTTTTAGTACTAGTAATAGGTATACTGATTGCCGCCCCTCTTCATCTTCTTCGTTGAGACTGACGCCCGTGGGAGATGCTACGAACCAGAGTTTGGGGAAGGAGCGGACAGGCAGACAGCCTGTTTTTTTCTTAATAATTAAATGAGCCAAACGACGTCGTTTGGATTAGTGCACAGGGAAAACAAAACGACGTCGTTGTGACCATAACTATGACATACGCTTTGACCGTCTTTCCGTAATTCCTTGTGCGGCTGTGCCTGTTCGTCGTTCCAGTCCAGAAGCCTTCCTTTGCCACGCCAGTCGCCGACAAGCCGTTAGACTCCGGAATCGCCGTCGCAGGCTCACCCTCGCCAGTCCCTTCTTGTTTGCCCCTGCGTCACGAAGTCCAACTCAGAAAGCGAAGCGGAACTCCAACTCAGTTGCATAGTTTGGCCGTTTGGATAAGTCCGTAACTATGGCAATTAATTTTAAAATTGTAATCCGTATTAATTACTTTATTTGCTTTTTTAGTTTAATTAATTATTTACTTTAAAATTGGATTGAATAAATGGTTTAAGGTTTACATTTGATTAATTGGTTTAATTGATCTAAAGTGTAATTGATTATTAATGAGTTTTTTACACAAATATTACTAGAGTAAAACTTACGGAGTATAATTTACATAAATATGGTCATTCAGTTACTACAATGTAGTGTCATAATAACTCAGGTTTAAAAGTTCAACATAAATTACTATAATTTCATTACTACTATAGTTACTAATTACATTTTTGTAAACAGTCGTTATTTTAGTCATAAATATGTAATTTTTTCTTGTTTAATTGCTTGAATTGGTATAACCGTATAAAGTAACGACTGTCACTGGACTAAAGGCTAAAATTAAAAAAAAAAAAGTATAACCGTATAAAGTTTAAATTGATTGTGCAATTTTTTGATTAATTAGTTTCATTGCTTTAGTTGTTTCAAATTTTAATTGATTATAACTATGGAGTATTTAAGAATTTGAAATTGAAAACCTTTTTAACTTGTTAGGTTACTCATGTGATCATGTCTATCTTATAATATGTAACATGAGGCGTTTGGGCCTTCTAGACGAGATAACGAAGAAAGTAGTAGAGAAAAACATCATTTCGGCTTTCTTCTAACATTTAATTATAATGTAATGTACTATTCTCATAAATTTTATATTCTGTAAACTTTAATAACAATTTATATTTTTGCATTTTATCTTACTTTTAGCCACCCCTTCATTTTCGTTCTGGTTCCGCCACTGGTTATATCATTGTTCAAAGTCATGACATTGTCAGGAAATGACATTGTTTTCAATAATGACATTGAGATATGTGACAATGTTATATCATTGTTCAAAGTCATTGTTCAAAAACTTATGTAATTCAGCGTCACTGTTCAAAAATTAATGTTATTGTTTAAAAACCAATGACATTATCTGATAATATAATGTCATTTTTTAAAAGTCAAAGTCATTGTTCAAAAAACAATGTCACTGTATGACGATGTAATATAATGTCATTGTTCCATAATCAATGTCATTTTTAAAAATGACATTGTAAAAATTGATATTATAAAAATGACAATGTTAAGGATAAAAAATGACATTGTAAAAATGACATTATAAAAATGACATT